TGTATACGCCCTCTAAATTAACTAATTGAAAATATTCAAAATACCTCCAACTTTGAAATTGAACTGTTCAAAAATGTTCTAGAATGATAAATTATACAATTTTTACAAAATAATCTTCTAATAAACTATATAGATATACTCCTTTATAATATCCCATGAACCCTGTAGTTCATAAACTATATTCCTCTATACTATCCCCTGAACCCTGTAGTTCATATACTATATTCCTCTATACTATCCCCTGAACCCTGTAGTTGATAAACTATATTCCTCTATACTATCCCCTGAACCCTGTAGTTCATATACTATATTCCTCTATACTATCCCCTGAACCCTGTAGTTGATAAACTATATTCCTCTATACTATCCCCTGAACCCTGTAGTTGATAAACTATATAGATATTCCTCTATACTATCCCCTGAACCATGTAGTTCATAAACTATATTCCTCAATACTATCCCCTGAACCCTGTAGTTGATAAACTATATAGATATTCCTCTATACTATCCCCTGAACCCTGTAGTTCATATACTATATTCCTCTATGCTATCCCCTGAACCCTGTAGTTCATATACTATATTCCTCTATACTATCCCCTGAACCTTGTAGTTGATAAACTTATAGATATTCCTCTATACTATCTCCTGAACCCTGTAGTTGATAAACTTATAGATATTCCTCTATACTATCTCCTGAACCCTGTAGTTGATAAACTATATAGATATTCCTCTATACTATCTCCTGAACCCTGTAGTTGATAAACTGTATAGATATTCCTCTATACTATCCCCTGAACCATGTTGATTGTATTGTCTAAATATCTTCCCCTGAGAAATGATCCAAGAACCAAAATAGAAAATGTATATATTAAAAAGAAAGAAAGAAAATGATGCAGGAATTTCTTTTTGCTTGATTTTTAGTTTGAGCCCACTAACTGTCGTTGTTTTATGGTTTCTTGCACTTTTATCTCTACATTTAGTTTAAATTTTAACAGCATTTAACAAATATCAGTATTTAATAAGTGATGAAAATGTCGTTTAATAGCGTCCAATACTCCTACTGGTTTGATGTTTTCCAACGTTACAATAATGATTAATTAATTTCAAAAAAAAAATAAGAAAATCATGGAAAAACTTTAAACCCGGAATTTTATAAAACAGTACGGATAGGGGATGAAAAAAAGCGGTAAATTCAGTTTTTAGACCTAAACTATATATCAATGCGTTGAAAAATAATCGATAATTATTGATTTTAATATCTGAATGATTTGTTGGGAATTGAATTGTTTATTTTACGATCCGAGTTGAATGTTGCAACTTTCTGAATTTGTATGGACGACACTTTCTTCAGCATTAGTCGTTTTCAATAATTTTTTTCTTTGAGACGCAACAGATAGAAGAAAGATTAGAAAGCGACCAAAAGTGCTTATTTTTCGCCCTAAGCCTATACCCCCTTTCATTTTTCGCGAACACTCCCTTTAAGAGTTTCAAGTAGAGTTTTCAATCGCAATTCCGTTTCGCGGTATTGTGCGGAATTGTGCGGAATTGCACGGAATTGCACAGAATTGCGCAGAATTGCACGGAATTGCGCGGAATTACATGGAATTGCGCGGAATTGCGCAGAATTGTCCAGAATTGAACGGAATTGAACGGAATTGCCCGCAAGTAAAATCTACATGAGTTAGAAACCCTAGTTTCAAGTTGTCTATAGAGTCACATCTTTGTGGGCAACATATAGTTTGAAATATTAAAGTTTACATTTTAGTTGTTAAATTTCTAAACTGATAAATTCTAGAAGAACAAGGAAGCGGAGTTTAAACTAAGACAAATGACACTGAGTTTCATTTTAATTTCCCAATCATTTCTGGAATTAACAAACTTTATCATAACAAGGTTTCCTTTACCACCTTTCAGCTTTCATCTGACTTAATTTATACACTAAAGGTCCAGCGTAAATTGAGACTTTTTAAATAGGTTTTTAAATAGCAAATCCACCAATGCACGATGATGTACCCTGGGAACTTAGTTGCATTGTTTTGAAGAACATTCATCACTAGCTTTTAGGGCGCTCACGACCATTTTCTATTTCATTTTTTAACATTTTCTCTTTGAACGTACATTTTAAAACAAAAATTCGCGGATTTTATAAAAAATTTAAAAATTGAATTTTGTAAAAAGCAAATTTTTGAAAATTCGATCATAAATATATCTTCCCTGGGGTCACGTGAGGTCCCACAAATATTTGGGCCCGATTGGTTCAGCCGTTTTGACGTTTATTGAACGCAAACAAACAAACAGACAGACAGGCAAAGTATATATTTATCATAGAGAAGATTAAGGACATGATAGAAGAGTGGATGAAAATGTTTTTTGGTCGGTTCTTAATCAAAAACTACTAATTATAATTAATATTTTATATAATAAATATATACATAAAAGTAAATGTTTTATTGTGCCCCCCACCCCTCCAAACAGAATATCGATGTAAAGCTTTAAGTGAGAGATCCTGATTACCTGATTCATATTACATACCTGGATTTACATTACATACATGGATTTACATTACATACATGGATTTATATTACATACATGGATTTACGTTACATATATCTTATTTACATTACATCAAACATGTATCAGAGAAACAAATTTGTCTACATCTTTTTTTTTTTGATTCTGTCAACCTTTATTCTCGCTAAAAGAGCGCATTATTAAAATTAATTTATTAAATTTATTAATTTAAGATTACGCAAAGCAACATTAATTAACCGTCTAATTAAACAATTCTTAATAATATTTAACAAGATAAAAACCTATTTAAGGTTTTACATGTAAAACTATTAAATAATTTATTATTTACTTTACACACATTCAGGACAATTGTGCTTTCAGAAGCTTGACTCTGGCAAAAGATCGATTTTTAAAACTAACATTTGATTTTGCTTCGTTCAGAGTCGATCGTTTTAACAAAGGTTGGAAAGGTTTACTAATGCAACATTGAGGGTCATTTAGAATTACGTCGGGAGTCCCAATGAAACAGTTATAAAATATCTTAATTATATTTTTGATGAGGTTTCTTTGGTTGAATTTAATATTTTGCAAAATCTGTGAAAACCTGAAAGATTTGTCAAGATTTGTCAAGAAGTTTAAACTTTTCTTTTCTTATTAGTTATTTTCTTGAGAGGAATAATGATCCATGTTGCTAAAAGAAATAATAAAATGGGGGACAAGTGTTGTTTACAATCAACTGTCAGATGTTAGGACAGCCAAAGATTTTATTTTATTCAAGCAGACCTGACTCTCCTGCTTTATCTTTTTAATGTTGTGTTTAAACCCAGACTGATTTTCTAATCCCAATATCTTTGCAACATGATGATGTAAACCTTTGATATTTCAAACTTATATTATTTAATGAATCAGTAAAATTTCAAAGCTTGAGTAGCAAAGATTTAAGGATAAAAAAATCCGAGTTTGTGGGAAAGCAAATCAGCAGAAAATATGTTTTAAAATATATGTTTGTTTTCATTTTATTTTGCAATACAGATGGTTTTGGTTGGGTTTTAAATAGGGTCTTCAGCGAAAAGGAAAAATCATTTCGCATTTTTCGCGACCATTTTGCTTTATTTTCGCATTTTGTTCACTCAAGAAAAATGCAATAATTATTTCTTTTTTCTCTTTAATCTGTTTCGCGTAAAAATGCAAAAATTTTGCTGAAAGTATAATGCGAAAATTTCGCGAAAAAAATTATGAGAAAAAGATTAAAAGATTCTTTCTTGTAATTGGCAGGCACAAAATCAAAGTTGAGCGTATGTATTGTGGATGGACAGACAGAAACTTAAAAAGATAGTCAGTGAAATCAAATTCTCTTCATCAAAGGAAGAGTATGTATTCATATTCGTATGACATAATAAAACTTTAGATATTGAGTCATCAGAGCAGAGAATTCCACAAGTTCTTTCGGAGCAATTAATTGTTGCAGCTATGAAACTCATGGTTTTCAGACAAATTTTTGCGAAATTTTAGCATTTCGCGAAAATATGTTCGCAAAATTTCGCTCTATTTATTTTCGCGAAAAAGTTTGCAACATACAACCAAAATTTTCGCATTTTTTCGCGAAATGAATGTGGAATTTCGCTGGAAACCCTAATTTTGAACCAATTTTAAAAGTTGGTTTCAACAGATTTTACAAGCTTTCATCCTCGTTTCAAACAATTAACTATAATTTTACTTTGAAAGGGACTATAAACAAAATCTGAAGTTACTTTCCATTTAAAATTTCAGTTTAAAAAGTTAAATAGTTATACCCTTCAAGCTGTAGAAAAATAAATCTGTAGTTTTCTCTCTGAAAAATGAAGAAGTGTATAAAGTGTACATTTGTGTAGATTTTGATCTCCGTGGAAGTGGTGTTCAGTGAGAACCAGAACATGAAGACGATATTTCCGCAATACTTAATCCTATAAAGGCTGAGGGGTCTGAATATATATATGGACTGGGGGGGGCGTCCCACTCCCCCTTCCTAGAAAATTCCCTTGGAGAATAGGTATAGGGTTGAAATGAATGTTTATAGCCCAATTTTTCAATGCCAGTTTATTGAGAAAAAAATTAGATCAATAACTTTTATAGTTTCTACATCCATTTTTCAAGGGTATTTTAAAAATATAGTTTTTAGATCTGTAGCTTTAGTCGTAAAAAACCTATTTTAGATTTTTTAAACAGGCATAAAAAAAGTTTTTACAAAAAATCCTAAAAATTTATATTTATTAAAAGTTTTACATTTATAATCACAAAATGTTCATTATATTCAATTTGTATATTGTAAAGGAATTGAGTCTTTGCCACAAACTCTGAATTTATAATCCCTATATCTTTGGAACCCAATGTCGCAAATCTTTGATATTTCAAACTTACATTGTTTGATCTAACAGAATTCATAGTTTGAAATATCTAAGGTTTACGACATTGGAATCCAAAGATATAGGGTTTAGAAAAGCAGAGTTTGTGGCAAAGACTCAATTCCTTTACCTTAAAATATTTTTTTGAGATTTTGATTTAATTACATAGATTTCTAATACAGCAATAGACTAAAGTATAAATGTATAATTATTTTGATTTTCAGATATGATTTCAGAATGAATAATATTGCAGTTATTTCTAAAATTAAATTTAAACACTATTTTTGTAAAATAAAACGATAAACATTTGTAGAACATTAATTTGTTATTCACTAAGCTAGGTTTGCTACAATTGTCTTGAATTAGAGTTATAATCATTTCTACATTTTCTACTCTCATCTGCCTTATTGCTTCTGAAAAATTATAAAATTTATTAATTTACAGAGAATAAATAATTTTTCAATTTGTCTACCTGTCTACGTGTCTACCTGTCTACATGTTTACCTGTCTACGTGTCTATGTGTCTACCTGGCTACCTGGCTACCTGTCTACGTGTCTACCTGTCTACCTGTCTACGTGTCTACGTTTCTACCTGTCTACGTGTCTACCTGTCTACGTGTCTACCTGTCTATGTGTCTACCTGTCTACGTGTCTACCTGTCTACGTGTCTACCTGTCTACGTGTCTACCTGCATCTACCTGTCTACGTGTCTACCTGGCTACGTGTCTACCTGTCTACGTGTCTACGTGTCTACGTGTCTACCTGTCTACGTGTCTAAGTGTCTACCTGTTTCTCCTCTGTTGCCTGAGAACTCTAAGCCTCCAAATTACTAGAATAATTCCAACCATTGCGCTGACTGCTACAACAACTATACCTGTTTCAAATTCAACAAATCTTATGTTTTTGAAAAAAAAATGAAAAAATGAAAATTTTCATTTCATTTTGTAATGTTTAAAAAGTGTAAGATTTTAAAAATGTAAAATGTAAAAAATGTAAAATTTTAAAAATGTGAAATTTAAAACATGTAAAATTTAAAAAATGTAAAATTTAAAGAGTAATATTTAAAAATGTAAAATTTGTAAAACTGTGTTAAATTTATTCCTGTTGCTGCAATAAAAATGTCCGCTTGAGCAAAAGACAGAAGACCTGGAGACCAAAGAACTTGAAATTTAGTTAATTTAAATAATAAATTTAAATTAAATTATGAAACTAAATTAAATTATGAAACTATTAATTAATTTCAATTGATTCCATTCCGATTTACAAGTCTCTTAAACATAGCAATAATTTTACTGACAATCATCAATTTTCAGATAGAAAAACAGGGATTAGTCAGTCTGTTTGATTATCCGATCATAGCTCATTATCCCCTTTGACGATTTGCCTCAAACTTTGAGGGAAACTCGGGAGAATCAACGGAATTTTTTTAGCTTGGTTTTAACATTCTAAGTTGGCTAGGTCAACTTTTATACGGAAAAAATAGGTAATTGTGCGGTTAAACTGTTAAACTGCTGGAGTCTTCTAATAGTTCCACAATCCCTTTAACAACAAGTTTAGATTCAACGTCTTTCCTAAATCTGATATCGTAGTTTCACAAGAAGAAGTTCCTGAAAATAGATAAATATTTAATTTTATTATTATATTGTCTTTTTGATGAAAAGTTTTTCATTAAACATCAAAGGGTTGTAATTTCAAGTGGAACTTTAAATAGAGACGGGCAAGCCCCCCCCCCCATTCATTAGAGCGGCTTTTAAATCTTTAATCTTTAAATATTTATTTGATTGATAAAATGAAATATTTCAGTTTTCTTCTTAACAAAACAAATTTTCCCATAAACATGCAGATTAACCTGAGAACAAATATTACATATTTCTGCAGTACGTTACCTATGGTGTTGTTTACTAAACAAGAATATGTTCCAGCCATCCCCTCCTCCCCTTGCAGGACCATCACGCTACTTCCGTCTGAATTGTAGAAATGGACTGTTCATGTTACTTAAAGTGAGCCTCCAGCAAAGATGCCCCGATTCACAACGGTACCATTGAAAGCTTTGTTTGATATTAGTATGAATCAGAAAACCATAATTTTTAAGTTTGATTTTTCTCTGAGATGTGTCAGCACATTTTTTAATTACAAGAAACAATGGAGAAATTCACAGAAATTACAATTTTTTTAGTTAAAAAAAAAAACGACAGTGTCTTCCACATTTTTTATCAAATGAAGATTTTAAGTGGAACCGGTGTAAATAAAGCATTTCCATCTTTGCATGGAGAGTCACGCTAACCAAGGAACTAATTCAAGGAAAGTTAATTGCGGTCGCGTATACAAGAACAGATGCATCAGTGTTCGTCTAGTATCCGAGGAGGTTAAAAGCATTAAATTTTGATAATTTTGAAAATTCATATTGTAGTTTCCTAAGACCAGAATATTTCATAGATTATTTTGTGAAAATTGATTCCATGTCAGGCTGTGACATCCGTCTTGTGTTTACTTTTCCGCCCAAAGACAGTACACTGCAGTACAAAAAATGCGTAAAAAAGGAAATAACTTTCCTTGCATTAGTACCTTGACGCTAACAGTCTCTATACAGATATATCAATTATTAATTTGTAACCAGAAAACAGAGGAATAACTGTCGTCTTGAGTTTTTCTTTTAACAAGTAAATATTTTGAGTTTAGGCAATTTTTTTCCCCACAAAATACATATTTCGTTAAAAATTCCTAATTTCAGAATTTTAAAAACACAAAGACGACCTTAATTCTGAAATTTTTTTTAATTATTCACAAAATGCATGCAAATTAACAAATATGAAACTTGCAATTTTAGCAAAGTTATCTTTTTTCAGTCAGGAATGTTTAATTCAATTTAAAATCTAAGAATTATTAGCTTATTTAAGTTACCAAAAAACTGTGTTGTAATTAATTTTGAGGTCAAAAAATATTGTTAAACCAAACAGATATTTTAGGGTATAAGATACTGTTAATTATGCCATAATTAAAAACATTCGATAATTATTATTAAAAAGTATAAAACAAACACCAAACATCTAACTTTAATCAGGTTGAGGTTAGGTCTGTAAAGTTTAATTAGAACTTTCTTGTAATTGTCTGAAACTATTTTTTTCATAAACATTTACAATTTGATCCTTTATGGAGTCTAAAAGATAAAAGTTAAAAAATCTGATCCATATTCAATATAGGCTTTCAATCTTCTATCTATCTATCTATCTATATTCATAAGGTTTTAATATCTGGGTGTCTGTTCGTTTGTTCGATCATAACTCAGAAACCACTGGACTGATTTGCCTCAAATTTTGATTGGGAATCATGGAGACCCACGGGAATGTCTCTTGGTTTTCATTTCATTATTTATTTAAATTTTTTGAGCTATTAAAAAAGCAAAATAAGTAAAAATATTTATATTAATAATAGACATCATCAATATTGGGAGTGAGCCAACCACCTACCAGAGGTCTATGCACTTTGAAAGTTTTACACTTCGATTAATAAATATAAACAACGTTTCAATATTATGTTGATACACATCCAATAGTATTGTAAAAAATCCTTCCAAGTTACACCAATTACAGGTGGTAGTAAAAATAAATGCATACACATAAAAGTTATTACTCATTATAACCTCTGGAAAAGATATTATAAACAAATTTTGAAAAATGTTGTTGTTGTTGACAGATATGATTACATGAAACATGATTGTTAGAAATTCAGTTGCTAGAACGATGTTACGATCTCTCTTTACTTCTATGTTTTGCTGCCCTTGTCTTACTAAATTTAAACTGCAAACAAATATGGAAAAATAACTAAATTCTAGCAAATGTCTTTCTTTAATAATATTTCGAGCAGATTTATCTGCAGTATTGTTTGTTTACCTATTAGTATTGATTGATTATTTCTGAACCAATTAAACGTAAATTCACCAGGAGACCCCTTACTATCACAACTACAAGAAAACACATTCTTGAATCATTCATTTTACCTCAGAAATAATATTTAAAGAGACTGTGAACGTTATTTTAAATGATCCACCATTTGTAGACTTGTTTATCCGATTCAGCATGGTAACCTTTAAACCTTTGTCAGAGCAAGTATGTCGTCTTCAATTATATAATAATTTTGTGTTATGGGAAACTTGAGGTTTACTGTGCACTGTACACTCACGTATCTGTACACTCACGTACACCGTTCACTCACGTACACTGTACCCTCACGTACACTGTACACTCACATACACTGTACACTCACGTACACTGTACACTCACGTACACTATACACTCACGTACACTGTACACTCACGTACACTGTACATTAAATTTCCATGTAACAAAACCAAAATATCTATGTAATCATTGATCGGACAAAAGTTTAAAGGGTATCGTTGTAAATCAAACATGTCCTTCATAACGTTCATTTTAAGATTGCGTGCAAGATCCCTTCTTTCATATTTTGAGAAAATTATAAAATACAGGGTTACCCACAAAGGATGAGACTGTAAAGACGACCCTAAGCTCAAAAAATATGAAGCATGATTTTTGGTTTCTACATTCAATTGAATTTTCTAAATGTTTACTAAATTATTGAGCATAGAAACAAGAAAGGTTTGGCCTACAAGGAATCTTGAATGCAAGAAAACGAATTAAACAAATTTCTTACAATCGTCTATGAAGTCTCATCCTTTGATGAGTAAATAAAACAAAGTAAAAAAGTGTTTAAAAATAAAATAAAAAAGTATTTAAAAAGAAAGTAAAAAAGGTTTAAAAAGAAAGTAAACATATTTTCAAAAAGAAAGTATTAAAGTTTTTAAAAAGAAAGTAAAAAAGTGTTCAAAAAGAAACCAAAAAAGTGTTTAAAAAAGAAGGCAAAAAAGTGTTTAAAAAGAAAGTAAAAAAGTATTTAAAAAGAAAGTAAAAAAGGTTTAAAAAGGAAGTAAAAAAGTGTTTAAAAAGAAAGTAAAAACGTTTTCAAAACGAAAGTATTAAAGTTTTTAAAAAGAAAGCAAAAAAAAGTGTTTAAAAAGAACGCAAAAAACTGTTTAAAAAGAAAGTAAAACAGTGCTGAAAAAGAAAGAAACGGTTTTTAAAAAAAAAAGTAAAAAAGTGTTTAAAAAGAAAGTAAAATCGTGTTTAGAAAGAAAGTAAAACAGTGTTTGAAAAATAGTAAAAAAACGTGTTTAAAAAAAAGTAAAACAGCGTTTAAAAAATAGTAAAAAAAGTGTTTAAAAAAAGTAAAACAGAGTTTAAAAAATAGTAAAAAAAGTTTTTAAAAAAAAAGTAAAACAGAGTTTAAAAAATAGTAAAAAAGTGTTTAATAAGAAGGTAAAACAGTGTTTAAAAAGGGATATTTACTGAAATACCTTAGTTTTATCACAGAGTTTAATATTTGCGAGTGTAGGGAGCAGGTTGGGGGATATACAACCTAAAATTAGAATATGTTTTTTAATGTTTTCTCTCCATAATTCTATCTGCTGTTGTAACTTCACCGCCTGATCCACAACGGTTCCGTTTAAATCTTCAACTGATTAATAATGTAAAAGATATCGTCATTTAAAAAGCCTTACAGAGGGGTTTAATTAAAAATAATGAATTTTCAAAGTTAAAAACTTGTATATCTAATTTAACCTTGGTTGAAACTACTTCTGCAGTCCATTAAAGGGACTGTAAGATTAATCTAATGTGACCCTCTGTGCAAAGATAACAATGCCCAGTTTACATTGTTAACTTTGAAAATAAAAAAATGGATATCTAGGTTTCAAGGGTACTGTTGGAAATCGGACATTGCCATGTTTGTATGGAGGGTCACTTGAAATTACGCTTACAGTCCCTTTAAATCGAGCAAACTGTATGATTTATTATAGAACTGTCTTTTCTTTGTTTTCATAATGTTTGTAAATACTAGAAAGTTTTGGGAGCGGTACAAGATTAGTTTTAATATTTTATGGATCGAACCTTTAATAATAAATAACCCTTGTTCCTTAAACTATAATTTCAGGCACAAATTGCACTAAATCCAGGAATAATTTGCATAGAAAACAGCACAATTTAACAAAGTCATTTAAAACAGTTTTTACAAAATACTGCAAACTTTCTAGTTTCTACCAAAGAATTTCTAGTCCTCATTTCTGTTAGCTTTGGATTAAAGGCCATGACCGGTATACTTTAACTCTCTATTTGTAAAATAATGAGGAAGATATTGTTGTTTTTACAGAATCAGACATTTTAACTGACGTCTAACGTTCATTTAACATTACTTGAAGAGTAAATACTGAAGTATATGCTTTACAAGTAACTTTACCTTTAATGTAAGGGTAGATGATGTAATACCATGTCTATTGTATGCTTCGCATGTATAGATACCATCCAACCCTCGATCCACTGATTCACTGACATTATTCAATGTTTAAATATTTTTCAAAAGTTTACATTTTTGTTAAGCTTCTTGACAAAATTGAAAATCAGAGACTTAGTTTAACTTCTTAAAAGTTTTCAAAGATATGCAAACATGAGTGAAATATTTTCAAAATTAAAATCATCCAAAGAAAAATAATAAGATAGATTTTTAACATTTATATATTAAACATTGTGCCTAAATCTTAGCAACTGGTCTTTCTGTATCACATGTCCATTGAAGGTCCATTGAAAGATAGGTGCAGGATATCCTTCAGCAGAGCATAGGATAGATCCAGGTACTGTATTCTCTAGAACGGTCAGCTCCTTGCTTGACAGGTGTAGGTTGGTTGGAGGGAACTCTACACTGAACCTGGTAACAGACCGGAGTAATAACGCACCTTCTCTACTCCGGGCTTCACAGCTGAAGTTGGAGTTATCCTTGGAGTTGCTTAGCCTAGATACTGGAGTAAGGGTTAGGATTGATAGAATAGATGGAAATATCCCCTTGTTTAACACTTCTGGGATATATTTCTCTTGTATTGAGAAATTCTTCTCCTGGTTCCTGATTGGAATTTCATTCCTTAGCCAGACAATTTGGCAGCTTGGTAGGCATTCAACTTGACATAAAAACTCTATTTTATTGGCATTAACAGGGGTTCCGGTGTAGGGCGGAAGATTTTGCAGAAAAGTGGGTTTTGCGAGAACCTCAACTGCAAGAAATCCTTTTGTCCCTGCCCCGACACTGTTAAAGGCCACACATGATATATTTGCTTGTGTTCCAAGTATTATTGGATTTATTTGCCAAGTTTGAGACGATACTCCATCTATCACAGTATCTTGGACAAACCATATAAACTTCTGGGCCTTCGGTTTACCAATGTTACTCAATTCACAGGTTAGGTTCACTTCTTCATTTTTGAATATTTTATCCTGACTGGGAATTATTTTCCCTGCTCCAGGGGGGTACAAGACGTCAAGTTCAACAGGCGTAGAAAGGGGACTTGGTCCTACACTATTAAATCCTTCACAGGAGTAGTGTCCGACAAACTCTCTGTTTACAGATTCTAGAATCAATTTACTGGGATCTACATTACACAGGCTTTCAAGGGGATTTTGGCACCGGGGTAACTCTGTCAACAAAATACCATCCATGTACCATTTAACACGAATTAGCTTGGAAGGATTACCCCGCATTACATCACAGAAAAGTGTGACATTTTGCTTTCTATTCTCTTTGATCGGGGACTCGGGATACATTTTTAGACTGACTTGAGGAACTGTTAAAACCTGAACATTGATTGGATATTTGGGTTTTCCTTCTCCAATACTATTTCTAATCAGGCAAGAATAATCCCCCTGGTCTGAGGGAAGAATAGAGTTAATGATTAACCATGAAACTCCTGATTGGGTCAGATATTTACTAGTGTTTGTATCAATCAGTCTCGAGTTCTTGAGCCAAGTGACACTGATAGGAAACTGTGGATTTGCATAATAGTCACAGGTTATGTTGAGATTAGAACCCTTAGTAGCTGCCATGTCTTTTTCACGTACATTGACAACAGGTACAAACTTCACTGTCAGTTTAACCTCAGCTATTTGAGGTTGCAGAGATTGTCCTTCTGTAATTTCATTGCTAGCTTTACAGTACACTTTATGGTTATCATCTGCTTTAGTAACACGGAACTTGATCTTGCTCTGGGTTATGTATGTTCCATCAGCAAGTAAACTGGAAACATGTTTAACCTGAAATATTAACGTTTTAAATAATAGTATCACTAAAACTAAAAACAAAAAACATTTTCACGAAATTTTTGCAGTTCACGCAAGTATTTTCGTGAAAAAAAATTTCGCTTCATTTATTTCCTTGCAAAAATGCGAAATTTCACAAAAAAGTTAGCAAAATGCGACCGAAAATTTTTGCACTTTTTCGTGAAATGTTTCGTTTGCTGGAAACCCCACTAAAAGCCCATAGTTTTACTAAATTACTGATTAGTTTTTTATCTATATTAATGAACCGTATATCTTTCATACATAGGCTTTTCATGGTTTAGAGCAGAACATTTATTTGTTGGTTATAGAGCAGAGGAGCAAAGGAAATAAGATGTTGTCTATAAACTCCAAAATTATAATCTCTATATTGTAGATTTTTAATATTTTTAAACTATGAATTCTATGAACTATGAAAAAGCCTAAGTTTGAAATAAGGTTTACACCAGCAGGTTTCAAAGAAATAGGGATTATAAATTATAAGTTTGTGGAAAAACTTAGTTCCTTTCTTGAGAAATCTTTCCCTTTTCAAAAATAATTAATCTTCTCCCAAATATTAAACAATAGTTTCAAAGAAAAAGGGATAAGAAAAATACAAGAAAAACGTTTAGGGTTTTAATTGCTGAATTTTGGGTAAACACTTAAAATAGTTAAAAAGGATGAAAACTTGCCATTTGATGTCCAATTTATCTTTTCTTTTTTGATTACTGAAAATATCTATTACAGAAGTTAAGTTTGTTGTCGCAGAGTGCCGTAAAAATGTTATAAAATTATTAAAGTAGCATACTATTGTTAACCATTAATTTCAAAACCTCTATAAAATGTCGTCTTATACTGGAATCTCCTGTCGGAGACAGCCAAACCAAATTTTCAGCCCGCAAATTCCATTGTCCTCCTCCGACGGAGCTTAAAATATTTTGTTGTTGTGAAATCATTAAAGTTAAGCAAAATATTTTCATAAGAAGCATAAGTGAATTTCGTTAAATATTCAACTGTAATTTTTCAGAAGTTAAAAAAACGTATATCAATACTGATCAACAAATAAGTCACCCCTTCTATACTTAAATAATTCGTAAGATTTTTTCTACTATTAACATTCATTATAACATTGTACAATTAAACACGACCTATAATTTATGTTATTTTTTTAGGAAATAAAGATTTTGTTATCGAATTTCTGTGACGGGGTTACTCTGTTGTGTGTGTATTGTTCGGCCTTCGGGAAAGAATCGTCTGGGGATAATAAACACCCCTTTCAAAATCCTAACCGGCCTATTATCCGGATTTGTCTAGCGTGTTGCTGTTATCTGTCAACAACTATGCATACTATGTTGAATTTAAACCAATAGATGTCCAAATCCTTACACAGCCCTCAGCCCCCTCAACTGGAAATGTCCCCTCCCAATCCTTACACAGCCCTCACTCAACCGGAAATGACTTCACTATATAATGAGTATTTGGTGTTATCAATAATCGCCAGAACGGCTGAACCAGTCAGACCAAATATTTTGTAGAACTTTACATATTTCTGGTCAGTCATTTATATGGAAGTCTTAACAGGAAGTTTACCTGTTCTGAGAAGAGAGGATTAGACTCATTAAACCATGAAATTACTGCGGCAGGACGAGCTCCCTTGGAAACACAAACCAGGTACATCTCCTCATCCTCCAGTACATCATCAACTGAACCTAGAATATCATCATAAAAGAACAGGAGGCAATTATGGCATAGTCTATGCTCTTCCAGATCCTCCCATCAAACTGACCGTTTTTAGTACGAGTATCATTGCGTGATTATATCTAACAGGGTTGGGCTGGTTTAACCCTAAACAGGCTGGGGGGGGGGGTTTAGCGCCCCCCCCCTGTATTTTTTTTGTCCTAGAACTCTCAATGTGAATTTTTTTTTACTTTTAATGATTAGTAATTTAAAGGGCTTTTTTGTTAAATTTTTTTTTATTTATAGGGTAGGGTACAGGTCGAAAAAAAGTCTGGTCTGTGACAAAAAAACTTTTTTTTTGATTAAAGCTACAGATCTAAAACTTTTTTAAAAATACATGTAGAAACATGTGTTAAACTTTGATATTTGTTTCACACAAAAAAAATATTTTTTTCACTTGTTTGACCCTTTTTAGGCATATTTTTCAACCCTCACTTGCACCCAAGCTATTAAAGTCTTGGGTATATTTTTTCTCTATGAGCTGGCCTTGCAAAATTGGGCTACTGAACATGCATTTCAACTCTATACCTATTTTCTAAGACCTTTTTCTAGGGGGGGGGGATGCAAAACGTCCTCCAAGCCTTTATAGGGTTAATAGAGGAAGATATTTCCAAAGTTGCTGGTTTCCTGAGAGATTACAACTTTACATATATATAAGTTGTCATCTCTTGAACCTCCTGACCGATTTGCCTCAAATTTATATTTGAGAACTTAATAGACCCACAAGAAAGTTATTTCCCTGGTTTCTTTTTTTGTAAGTATGTCCAATCATAACTCAGGAACCCCTGGACCGATTTGCCGAGAATTCATTGGCTTGGTTAAAAAAGTCTAAATTGAGTGGGTCGGATTTTATAGGAAAAGTTTAGTTTCCATGCAATGCTGGGTTCCCAAGCAAGTAATTATTATTAATTAATTATTAAGCATTAGTTAGTTATAGTTTTAACAGTAAACTAAATTACACGTTAAAAAGTGGAAAATAAAAATAGTTAAAAACGAACAGTAAAACAATAAATAAAAATATAATAAAAAATAAGAAGCAAATGATAAATAATAAATTGTACGCCTAATGTAATTTATTTGTTACAAATGAAAACATATTAAAAGTGTTAGTTTGAGGTTTAGCCAATTCAGAATAATTCAAATTATGTAGTGTTAACAGTAGGACGCTTAAAATTGTGGAAAAGGAAGACGACTTTAGAATTATCATGAAATGAAACAAGCCAATTGTACAAAATACACATTAGTACCACATATATCAATTTTAACCTAGTAGTTGATTTCTCTTTGACTTTTACAACATTAATTACACTAAATAGTGTTAATTGTTGCTATTCTTCAGTTTTGTTGATCTAACTATATCAAATAAACATAATCCATTATCCAACAACCTCAATTATAACCCTGAATACGATTTAATATATATCTCTATATCTTGTATAATTATACCCAACATATCAAACTTCAGATACTAATTCTAATAATGAATTTAACTTAATCCACTAATGTTTAAATAATTAAATATTTAAACCTTTGATATTGGTATAAGATCTCAAAGAAACTATAGTTTGAAATATATAGGTAATGATTAATCAGAATTTAAGAATTTGAAAATTTTCTTTTATCCAAATATGTGGGACTTTGCTTGAACTTATGGGGGTTATTTTCCTTAACCATAGAAAGCAAACAATTTAAAAATTAAAGATAAAAGATTGAGGTTTGCATTGGAACGAGGGTAATTTTTGTTCAATACAGTGTGGCCAAAAAATCTGTGGAAATATGAAGACGATAATCAAGAAAGGTTATGTATATTTGATGTAATTATAAAGAAAATATATTATACAGTAGCTTTAAAAAATCAAATTATTAAATGAAATGGTCTGTGAACACTGCACAATTGCTCTGGTTTAAAACCTGCATAACTTGAATCCAACCGTTGTTGTTTTATTCCACAGTTTGATAGGTCTCACTGTATCATTACCTGTAATAGTTGTACTAAGAGGTTTGAGAACTAAATCTAACTGAACAAATGCTTCTTGATGATTAGTCATCGCTTCATTCTTAACTCTGATCCAATGCATCATTATTTAAATCATTGTTGTTAAATTTCATGTTTTTTAAATTTTTTATTTTAATTTGAAGGTATTCAAATCCTAAAATTCTAAAAATGTAAATTTAAAATTACTGTGAATATAACTTCAAAGTGACTTCAAGGGAATTGTCTGATCCGAGCTTTTGACAATAAAAGGTGACTTTATTTTATCTTATTTAAAATATTTCCAATATACATTCAATATGTATTTCTGATAGTTTTACCGAAATCGGTTTCAAATAGAAAATTAAAGATTTTTTACTTCTCAACGGTTAAACTATTAATAAGAATTCACCACATTTATTTAAAAATTTCAAACAGTTATAACAAATTCAGTATTATTATTGGTTTTGATTTATACGCTTGTAATCTTTGATAATTTTGCTTGTGACAAAAAATAATAACACCATTTTAAAGAAAAACACCCAGATTTTACTCCACCGTCGATGAGCATGGAGAAAAGGTTATAAAGGTACTATTGTGAATAAAGCATTACCTTATTTACATAAAGGGCTGGGGAGGGAGGTACTGTGTTAGCAAATTTTGGATTATTATATATATCTTTTTATCTTAGATAGATTATAATCTCGTCAAATATGATATAATAACATAAAGTAGTTTTTTTAAAATCTATTCTTGAAAATCAAAATTAAAGGACTGAACAGTGCCTGCTCTCTCTTCTTGCGCCTCTAATTTTTTCAGGGGGGGACATCCCCCCCTCGCCTCCCATGGAAGTGGTTTATCTGACAAACAATTGTAAGACAAGTGTAAGATAAAGGAGATTAAACTGGTCTCCTGACTCATGTAAGAACCAAGAGAAGATTAAGCAATGTATCAGTCAGACAAACATGATACAATCACAAGATGGAGGGGGGGGGGGATGGAGGATGATGTTAGGTACTTTCCCAAAGGCTTTATCCCAAGCGTCAACTTCCCAAGTGAATTTTCCCAATTGCAACTTCCCATCTATGCAATATTTCCCAAGCGTTAACATCCCAAGTCTAACCAAGGTGCAGTAAAGCCCCCTAACCGGTTCTAGCTGCAGCGCTCAGCCCCCTAGCCAATCCTAGCCACAATGCTCGGACCTCATTGCAGCCTGCGGTGTCTTAAAAGTCCTTATCTAATCATTTGGGAAGTTGTCACTTGGGAAGTCGCCCTTGGGAAAATGCCTTTGGGAAAATGTTTTGGGAAAATACCTAACACTAGGGGGAGAAAGGTGTTACTCTACAGACAATTAGATTTTAATGTTAAATATAAGCATCCCTGCAAACTATCTTTTCACCAAGGTGTTCCCTCAGAACTCTGAAAAAGTTATTTTTATTAATATATGTTTGTTTTTATTTATTTTCCTAAAATCAAATTAAATGAGACCTACAAGTAAATGTTTCTTATCACTTTTTCTAAATATATTATTATAAATATATATATTCTTACTTTAGTTTTATTTCTTTACTAATAGTTGCTCCCTTGTTTGATGTTGAGAGAACACTTTCTTTTCCCTGAAAAATATTAGTTTAGATTTAAGTCACAACGAACAAACAATGAATCTGATTTTTATGACAATTAATTTTAAGATTTTTTCTGATCTATGTGTTTTCCTCCCAAAAAATATATATTGTGTATAAAAGGTCGCTAACGATCATTAACGAAGGATCAGCGAACAAAAACCTAAAACAACTTTTGAAATTAAAAATAAATCTTTTTCAAAAACGACTGTTTCGTTTTTCTTCATCATTTATTAAAACAACAGAATCTTTTTAAAAAGATCTATCCCTACACAATACATTATTATCTAACATTTACAATTTGCATAACACAATAGTGATCCCGAAAACTGTGGGATTAAGCTTTAAATTCTAGTGTGCAGTCTCTCAAGTAATTTTTTGACGTCTGAAATTTTTTCTTTCAGAATTGAAGGCGAAAAACCTGAATTGCAGAAGCTTTCCATGTGAAGTATGTATATAATTAAAACAAAACCCGCCAGGAAATAAATTCTATTTTAACAGTTTTTATTCTAAAATAAGCTTCAATTTCAAGTGTAACTCAATTTCTGGGCACGTCCGATTCAAATTGTTACCCTAAAAATTAACTAATTTTGAAAGAATTTACTGTTTTTAAAATATTTGACCTGAATCAGTGTAGCGCCTAAATACCAGTTTACACTTGGAGTTGGTCGTCCTCCTTCACTTTCACAAACCAATACTGCTTCATATCCTTACCATTCAGTCAAATAATAAACCAATCAGTCAAATAATAAACCAATCAGTCAAATAATAAACCAATCAGTCAAATAATAAACCAATCAGTCAAATAATAAACCAATCAGATAAATAATAAACCAATCAGATAAATAATAAACCAATCAGATAAATAATAAACCATTCAGTCAAATAATAAACCAATCAGTTAAATAATAAACCAATCAGATATATAATAAACCATTCAGTCAAATAATAAACCAATCAGATAAATAATAATCCAATCAGATAAATAATAAACCAATCAGATAAATAATAACCAATCAGATAAATAATAAACCAATCAGATAAATAATAAACCAATCAGATAAATAATAAACCAATCAGATAAATAATAAACCAACCAGTCAAAAAATATACTAATCAGTCAAACAATAAACCCATCAGTGAAATAATAAACTAATCAGTCAAATATTAAACCAATCAGCCAAATAATAAAACAATCAGTCAAATAATAAACCAATCAGTCAAATAATAAACTAATCAGTCAAATAATAAACTAATCAGTCAAATAATAAACCAATCAGATAAATAATAAACCAATCAGTCAAATAATAAACCAATCAGTCAGATAATAAACTAATCATTCAAATATTAAACCAATCAGTCAAATATTAAACCAATCAGTCAAATAATAAACTAATCATTCAAATATTAAACCAATCAGTCAAATAATAAACCAATCAGTTAAATAATAAAACAATCAGTCAAATAATAAAACAATCAGTCAAATAATAAACCAATCAGTCAAATAATAAACCAATAAAACAAATATTAAACCAATTTAAAAATCAAATTTGATATTTTCTTTGTCCCATTAGATAGGATATCAATCTGACAAAAACCCGATGAAAATTATTAGAAGGATTTTCAAAACTGTAAAGGTGTAAGAGGCTCTGCAGGCATTGACTATTTTTTTAGAGACACCCTGTATATATGACATACGTACACCCTAACGGCCTCCACAAGTAATTGCTTCTGTTTCATGATGTTACATTTAATGACTGTTCTTGATTCTAGGATGTTCAATTGACCATTAATTATTCAAGTTCACGGTTTCAAACTTCAAGTCTTAAGCAAATATTTTTTTTTCAGTAGTTCAGTTCTACTAGACGTTAGATTTGTGAATTTTCATATTTGACAAAATTCTTTTCCGATAAAATCGTTCAAGTGCGGGTAAACGGCGGGATAACTATTTGTAACCTAGGCAGCACTGGGTTCCCAAGCTAGTATATATATATATATATATATATAATATATATGATATATATATATAAATAATTTGTTGTGTCCAAAAACATGGTTCCTAATTTCGTGACACGTTGCAAAGCGAAATAAATGAAATGTTTGTTTTATAAAAATTCAAAATACATATTTCAGTTTTGAAACCACGATAATTTCAATAATATATCTCATTTAATTTAATCAAAAGAAGCTAAAAGGAAGAGAGAATTGAGAGAAGGTTTAAAATTAAATCTTTAATATTTCAAGAATTATTAATTTAAAGAAGTTGTAAAAATATATTTTGTTATTATACAAAACCACTTTAATGCGCATTGCTTGCGCCAGATCTTAATAATTATTCAAAATAAATATAAAAATTATTAAAAAAGTTTCTTTAAACATTAAAGTTAAAATATAAAAATACTTTTATCCTGCCAAAATCCCTTTTTTGAATCAAGATTATTATAAAAGGTTTTTCAGGAAGATAAATATAAAAAAATAAATAAAGCCATGCAGAACAGTTAACCAGCTATATTTGATTGGAAGCCAGATTGTTTTTTAATTGCGTATTTGAATCACTTTAACACATGATATCTGCGGCTAATGATCGTAAATAAGATTGGAAAACGACAATATAAAAACTCTATCATAGTATCTGTATCATAGGACTATCTATATATAAGATTTCCTTCAGAAATAAATAAAAAACAAAGTAACAAACAAACCATTTTAGATTATAAACATACCGTTTCACCAAGGTACAAATGCAAGGAAAGTTAATTGTGGTCGCGTATACTCTGCGTACATTTTGAAACCAGTTCTCTTCTCTCTGGATGGAATTTGTAAACAAGAATAGATGCATCAGTGTTCGACTAGTATCCGAGGAGGTTAAAAGCCTTTAATTTTGATAATTTTGAAAATTCACATAATATGACTAGAAAATTTCATAGGTTATTTTTATGAAAATTGATTCCATGTCAGGCTGTAACATCCGTCTTATGTTTACTTTTCCGCCCAAAGACAGTACACTGCAGTACAAAAAATTTCCTTGCATTAGTACCTCTTACCATTCCACCCTAACTTATATACAGCAAGAACACCTAATTTAACCTTGGAATTGCTCTCGGAGTTTTAGGTCGTCTTTACCGTCTCATCTTTTGTGGTTAACCCTGTAAGTTGCAAATCCTAGATTGGAATGCGTGATTCACAATGTTTTCCTTTAAAGCTTTGTCTGATTATTAAGAATTAATTAGATAATAATATCCATAAATAACTCTTTCAAAATTCATTATTGGTTTCTCTACAAAACGATGATATCTTTATCAATATTAATCAGATAAAGGTTTGAAGGGTAAAAAAACCGACATTCCGTTTGATGAAATTAGTTTTTTTTGACTGATTTCCTTCTGGTAGGTTGGTGATGAGACTGTTAGTGTAAACTGTACTATTGTACAATATACGTTGTCTAGCTGGCTTCTCAATAGTTCTGCGGACAATAGTTAATTTTTAGATTAAACTTAGATTTAAATATGGCTTTTTTGTAAACATCAACAAAAAGTGATAAACTCTAAACCCAAGAGGCGGATTTTTTCCTCACCTGAAAAATTCCTAAATGGACCGAAAAAATTGTTAAAAACAAATAATAATTTGCTGCCAAAGTTATTTAACTAATCTTTTGAAAGTGATCTTTCCATAACAAATTTTTTTTCCTTAATATTCTTTAATTCTAATCGATTTTGGATTTTGGAAAATTGTCATGTAATCTAGCCCAAACCTGTTTAAAGCGTTATAAAACATAAAAACTTTAAAATGTGTTTAACTATTTAAACTAGCTCGAATTTTGTGTTTTTTAAAGATGTGACTAATGGTCCGTGTGAACTATCAAAAATATTTTCTTATTTATAAAGAATATTTTGCTAGAGCAGAAAAATTTAAAGTTTTAATCAAGAAAAATGCGAAGAAGCCATACAATAAATTTATACATTTAAATTGCTGTGTCATAAATTAATACAATAAAAATACAATAGATTTATACTTTTAAATTGCTGTGTTATCAAATTAAAAAAAATAAAAATACAACGAACATACGTTTATAAATATTTTGTATTTTTATATTATTATATATTATATATATATATATATATATATATATATATATATATAATATTATATATTTCTGCAAAGATTAACTAAACCGTCTAATAAAACTTGTAAAGAAATTAATAACTCCTAAAACAATAATTTTTATCAAAATAACTGGATAAAGAAAATCTTACATTGACTGGTTTTTCCCATCCTTGTGTTATTAAAGGGACTGTAAGGAAAAATGAAAGAGGGTATAGGATGAAACCTGAGAATCTCAGCCGTTCTGACTTCTATCTGATGTTCCTGTGTCTCGAGAAATTAATTGTGTCAAATTTATACGAAAATTCATATAAATGCAATTTTGTATAAAAGTTGTAGTATTAAACAGTTGAAATTCAACAAATATGCACCAATCTGAAAACAATTATATTCCACAGGAGCCTGAGAATCTCAGGTTTGCTCCTGTTGTAATTTTTTTATTTTGATTTTTCATTTTGAATAGATATGACTGATAATATTATCACATACAGTCCGTATTACGTCACCAGAACTTCAGCCAAGGACAGACCAGTATTGTTTTCACATGATACAGACGGAAATCACGTGGCCAGTATACTGCACTGCCATTGGCTAAAGTTGTGGTAACGTAATACAGACTGGACGGAGCAAACCTATGATTCTCAGGTTTCTGTAGAATATAGTCTTTTTCAGATTGTTTTCGAATTTGCTGAATATGATCTGTTCAAACCTACAATTTTTATACAAACTTACATATATATATGAATTTTCGTATAAATTATATATATATATATATAAAAGTTATATATCAAATATTTCTCGGGACAGGAACATGAGATAGATGTCGTTCAACGCCTGAGATTCTCTTGTTTCATCCAATACCTCCTTTAATTTTTCCTTTACAGTCCCTTTAATGAGGAAAATGTATATCTTCAGTGCGCATTTAAAATTCTAATTCGAAATTAGTATTTGATCCAAAAGAGAATCGTGTATACGTCACAAGTAAAGTATTAACTATCTGTTCCTAAGATTGAAAGCTTGGACAACAGGACACCCACGATGGATTTCTAGATATGTTACTTCACACTTATATATACCCTCATCTTCATACCTAAATATATCTATATAATATATCAGTTGAAACGCAACAATCTTCTTATAACATTTTATTCATGATTTGAGAATTTTTCACAGGTGTTTCGCGGATTCTCACGAGATGTTAAATTAGTTTTAAAATTAATGTTACATATAGATACATACAATAAAACAAACATGATGTAAAAAAACCATACTTTATCACACTAAATTTACTAGAAGCATTTTGTTTTTATGTCGAAATTTTGACATAATTTCATGTCTTTTATTCAATGATAATGTTCTATCTGCAAGAATGATAAGCGTTTTCTCATATATATATTCCCATCTATGCAATAT